TCGCCGGTATTTCTCAGATCGACTGCCTGCTGTGCCTGGTCTCGAGAAGGATGGGAGTTGACCACCAACTGAGGGAGCAGGACACGGCGAGACAGCCGAACACCCGGATGCATTCTTAACCAACTTTACCTCGATCTGGAGATGGTTCCATGATGAAAGATTTCATGTTTCTTTGACCGCAAGGTCACCGTACCGAGTACGTCGTCGATTGGGAGTTGTGTATGATTGACGCTGGGTCAAGTGGTGGATGTGTGGTTAGAGAGCTTCAGAGTAGAATTCGAGCTCCGTAGATGAAGCGGGAGTCCGCCCCAAGATATAGCTCCAGAAGAGGGGTCGAAGGTTTGAGGGGTAAAATCTCGGCCTGCCTTTCGTTAGGAAACTAATGCAGCTGGGCCCCAGGCGAGCGTGGGAGATCTGCCCTGTTCGTCCCAACGGAAACACATCACGAAGACGCGGCTCAACGCGGGCCAAAGGGAAATCCCGCACATTCCGGGATCGGCGCAGCCTCCGGTTGGTCTTCTGAGGCGTGGGGCCAAGGCTTGTTGACGAAGACAGTGGTCTGATAAGGGTACAAAGACGAGTATCGTGCGGCATCGGCTTAGGCTGAGGGGGTTCTTGTAATCGATTTTAATGCTTGGCAGGTTGCGAACTCGTTGCTTGCAATCGAAAACCGTCAATTGGGGGTATCAAGGAGCTATCGCTGATGCAAAAGTAGGCCATCCATCAAAACATAGTATGCCAAAACATCACCATCGAGACCAGACCAGTCAAGAATCCGAGCTGGGTGCCGAAACTGCCGGCGCCGTCTTTATGATCCTCATCGTCAGGATCCGTCGGAGGACCTACAAGAGGCCCCCGCTCGGGTCGCTCCGGGTCGCCTCCTATCGGCGCCCGGATCCAAGACTTAGGCACCTGTGTGAGGAAATCATACCAGTATCGTCCCATCTCCTTATAGCCGTTATTGTTGGGATGGATGCAGTCCTTGCGGAGGTAGTTGCCTGTGATAGTCGTAAAGTCTGCGACCAGGACATGCTTGCCGTCGTCGATGCGCTCCTTAACAACACCGGGGATGAGCGACTGAAATTTGCTCTCGCGCTCTCGTCTCTCCTCGTCGCATGAGCTAATGATAATGGCAACAATGATGACAGCATCAGGGCAAGCCTCGACCATCTGGTCGATCAGCACGCCGAGTCTGTTCGCGGCTCCCGTTGGATCGTTGCCCTGAACGGAGCGGTCGGGCCGCGCGCTCATGTCGTTGGTGCCGGCATGCAGAAGGATGATGTTCGGGCGCTGTTCGAGCGACGGCCCAACATGTTCATTCATGAACTGAATCGTCTGTCCGCCCCAAGCAGCCTGTCACAGTAAGTGTCTGGTTTAATCTGATTGGAATGCCATTGATGGGCGCGGCGAACGTACAAAGTATCCATCTGGAAGGATCCCCCTCTGTTGATCACCGGCGAAAAAGATTTCATTGCTCTCTGGTCACCATCAGTATTTGATTCGCATGCCGATCGGAGCTCTTTGCGTTGACGTACCAGATAAGAGCGCCTTCAACTCGCCCCTGTAGCCATTCCAGTCGCTGCTCCCGTCACCGACAGTAATCGAATCGCCGACACAAAGAATTCGAAGCTCCGTGTTCTCCTTGACGACCTCACCGGTCGGAGCCGACGTGTATTCCAACGGCAGAGACACAGACAAATTTGTGTGAATGCTGTAATCGGTGCTGGCCAGCGCCAGGACCAGCACGGATGCTGTGGCGATCATGCGTGGCGCCCGCATGGCGATTGCGACCGGGATGTGGAATGGCACCGAGCCGTTGGCTTTGCGTTTCGGAAGGAGGCTCTCGTGGTTGGGAGACGACGGGCGATCTCTACACTATCCAGGCTATATAAAGAGCATCTCTTTGCATGTGTCGTCATCTCGTGGCACAGCATCGGCGGCACAGCTCCAATCTCACGGTTGACTTAGCACAAAAACTGGGCAATCGTCACTTCTTAACCATCTTCACTCCCGCCATACGCTCGGCCATATGTGCCCAGACGGCGTGGTCACGGACCCATGCGGATTTGTTGGCGCGAGATGTCTTGGCGGCCTGTCGTCAGAGATGACTCGTAGCTCGGCATCCCGGGGGACTTGAGAGCGGGATGGGTGAAGGAACAGCTCCTGGTATGCCCAGGCTGACGTGGGAGATCAGCATCATAGTTGCCAAGACCCATGTGTCGCCGGGGATATCCAAAGCGTAATAGGGCTGACGGTGTCCCATTTGCTGCTGAACAAGGTGCTCCAGGCACTTGGATCCTTTTGGCACGCTTGGTTTACGTACGGCGGGTTCAGAGTTGGGGCCAAGCCGCTGAAGTGACCGCTAAGTCGTGGCCGGACCAGCCGGCTAGACCGAATTTCTTTGTCTTCTTGGCGAGCCCGAAGGCCGATCGTATCAAGGATCATCCATCCTCCCCCCAAAAAAGCCCACGGGAGGACGGCAAAGGCGGTCGAACCTCTCTAGTTCTGGTCGCGAGGCCGCTAGTAATTCCCTCCATCAAGAAACTTCGCCCCCCCCAAAGAAACGAAATCAGTATAACGTGCCGTTAACTACCCAAAACTTGCTTCTACTCATGGAGCTTGAGAACGAGGGAAAACAAACTTGTCTAACGAAGTCCCACAGTCTTGAAAAGTCCACCACCGTATTCCGTTTCACTTAGTCCTCATACAGGGTTATTTGGGCTAGCGCTCTGTAGTTGGTTCTCTGGCATCCAGGGCCAAGTCTCATTTCCGATAGTCTGGTCACGATGTCTTTCAGTGTTTTGTACATTCCAACAAACAGGACGAATCAATTCATCCCAGACGGCACACTCACTCAGCAAGGGCCTGTCTCTGGTCCCACATGGAACAGTTTTGCCACAGCTGTGCATCGATTAATGCATGAGTTTTTCGTCGAGAAAAAAAAGATTCATTCAGAAGCCCTCGGAACGACCCTCCCAGACTCTCCGGACTCCCGATGTCAGCATCTTCCAAAGAAGAGAGGCCTATTTCAGCCCCCTGATTTCTGAACCAACAGCGCAATCAAGTCAAAAGCAGACCGGGCCGTTCACTAACAGGCCCGAGTCTTGTGTTTCTTCCCCACGTGTCCCTTCCCAGAGGACCCCGAGCTTCTATGCTTCCGCTGCCCAGCCGCCACCCCGACGAGACCCCTGTCAAGTTCCTCGTAGTGTGAGGACGCGACGCTGCTCGCGCTCGTAGACGAAGACGAGGTTCTCGAGCACTGCGATTTTGTAGGCGCTGTCGACGAGCCATACCCTGACGCCTCGGAACCGGCAGCTTCAAGTTCTATTTCCTCTTCGCTGACGGGCGGGAACCCTCCGAGGAGCGAAAACGCCGACCCACGCCGGTGCGACGATCGCGGCGCCGGATGGAAGCCAAACTTGCGGCTCGCCGTCCCCTTGCGCAATTCGGGGAATGTCATTCCGGGCGACGTGGCGCATGTGGCAGCTGAAACCATGGCACGTCAGTCCTGGGCACGCATTCCTTTTATACTTCGGATGGGGAGTCAGGGATGGCTCACTGGATCTGCTACATCTCTCGCAACACCCATGAGCACAAGGCTCCTGTCGATACGCTGCTCTTGGGACGTTGACTGGGTCGTCCGACGTCTTCCAGATGATGTTGGTGCACCACCCAAGCTTGTTGGATGTTTGCTGGCACTGGCAGCATGACCAACTTCCGCCCATGGCCTTGTAGTGGCAATTTTGTAATGCACAGTCCGTGTTTGATGGCTGCGCTGCAGCGTAGCTTAGGTGCGAGCATGGTGTCTCGATGCCAGTGTCGAGGTCGATGATAGCCGCTGGGCAATAATGCCAGTTGACCGAGGTGTGGGAGCAAGGGTGATGGCGAGGATGTCCATGACACATCTTGGCGGTTGTCGTGTAATTGACTTCTCGTCGGGTTGTAGGTAAGAGAAGCAGGTTCAGGATGACGCTGCTTCTGTACTTGCAGCCTAACGATAAATGAGGATGGTGCACTGGTCAAGCAGCTGCTGCAGAACGTGCTAGAGGACTACGCCAACGAAGAGATTCTGCTACAAAACCGTCCAACTCTTTAACAGCGATCTCGACCAATCTTATAAAGAAATTGGTGGCCGAATAGTTCCGTCGAATGATTCTTCAAGACCGAAAGCATATCAGCTCAGATGGGCATTCTCGATCACTATTCCCATGATTCTCATCCTTCATCACAGATGAGGCCAATCCCCGGCCAAAACAACAGCCTCCTACACGCCCCCGACCTCATCTCAATATGCAAAGCACGCCAACCATCTCCGACATGATCGAGGGGGTAAGAGCCGATCTCGTTGTCTTTCCTCTCTCATCGAGTACAGTGTAGTTCTTCGCTCTGACGGGAATGATCTATGCAGGACCTAGTGGCCCAAGTTCCCTCCTCGATGCATCTCCTGGACCCAGCAGACCAGAAAGGCTATCAATGTCTCGGGTTTTGATATTGGCCTTGTGCGAAGACGTCCTCCACCCGGCGCTGCACCGAAGGCCATTGAGAAACATGAGTGACCACAGTATCCGGGTCTCGTAGTTCACGTATCTAAAACATCTCCCCGCCTCCTCCCCAACTTCGGTAAGTAACTGCACCGTAAGCAGATAATCTTTGTGCGACGCACTTGGCGTCCGGACGTGGCTAGAGCTGAAGGGGAAAACGCTGACGCCCGCTCATCTGGAACCTCATCCCCGGTGGCTGCCCGCATCTTCCGTGCAACGTCGATATATTGGTCCAACTGGCTGGTTCGCGGAGCGAAAGTGCGCGCTGTCGCACAAGAGTGAAATCGTTTCTGTGCCCTCCAGTCAGCCGGTTCGGTGTATTTTAAGAAGTGAGGCCGTTCGATCTTGAGACACAAGGAGAGGACAGGCCTGGCTGGAGGAGGCTTCCCCCTATTATTCGGCCACTCAACGCCCCTGGCGACTTGAGTCAACGGTTGTAGATCCAGCGACACAGGCGACACTGGTTGATCTGTGGTCTGCTACCATGTCACCCCAGAAACACGATGGGCTAGCCAAGTGTGGATGATTGGGTGGAACGGTAGCCTTGCCAAGTCCAGTATGCTTGATACTTCTTGGTTTTGAATAATGTAGACTCGGCCGTTGACCATCAGCCCACATGGAGGCGTGGAGCTTTCGCTGCCGAATCAAATTCCGCCATGAGCCATCACCCCCCTTCGCAACACAAGTGGTCAGCTGCGGGGAAGCGACATGCATCGGATGGGATCCTCGCCAATTTAGCGTCTGGTTCTTGCATCTTGTTGACCAGCTTCCGGCGGTTCGGCTTGTTTCCGCTGGACATGGGTTGCAGTCACGAGTGAATTTTGGGAGGGTTTTCATTTACGGCCGCATCATTGTTATGAGCTTCCAGTCGGTTGTTCAATGCTTGCACAGATTGCAAAAGACCTCAAGTTCCCATGATGTACAATCAACGCGATCGGGAGAAGAGGGAGAGAGGGGGGGCTGAGCTCAGCCGTCCGGCTTATGAAATTCGGCCAACTGAACCTAAAGTACTCAGCTGTGCTGGAGGGAGACGAGCGACTACTAGCTCACAATGTCAGCTTCAATGTGGCCTGACGTGAGATGACAGCGCTGACAGTGACGGTCTAAAAAGTCTTCTTTTATGAAGAGCATGGCCTCCTCCGCTCCTGGCTTTTCCGCAGTAAATATTTTGTTCAAAGCTGGAGCAGTCTTCGACAAGATCACAAACAACCTCTGATATCTCCAATATCATACTCACACAGCACAATGTCCGTAATCGAAGGATACCAAGTTGGCGAAATCGCTGCTCAGGCCGCTTTTACCTCTGACATTATTCTGGCCAACGGTATTGATCTCACTACTGCCGTCAGTCAGCAAGAGTTCGCGCGTCGACAGATGGACACTCGGAAGGGCATGTACATCAAGTATGTACCTTACCAGCCTCACAGTGTCACCGCTCAGGCTGTTGTTGGCGGACGCTATCTATTCAACACCTGGGACGATGCCTTAGACTATGACGACTGGACGACGAACGTCTTCGAGACGGGCGACCCACCACAGAAGTTTTGGTCCTCAAACATATTTCAGAAGGTTGACCGTTGGATTTGGCGTGTTTCGGGTGCCTGCCAGTTCTTTTTGCCCGAAACTCATGGTTTCACCCGCTTTCAACGATGGGAGTACGAAGGAGACAATGTCGAGGAAGAATTTCGGGGCGTTTATCCGAGCCTCCGAGAAGCTGCCAAGGCTCGAGGAGCTGCAGGTATCTGGCTTCTCTACCAGCCAGACGCTAAGTTGATTGGAATTCTCACGATTATGAAGAAACCAGAGGTCTTGACCACTGAGTCTGTTCACGAAGCCTTGGAAGAGCTCAAAGCCCAGCCTTCGTTTGGCTCCCTCATACCTTCGACTTTACGCCCTCGCTCTGTATTCGATAATTCAGCCTTGATACTCGCGATGTGGCTTCCAGTTTCTCGTTCGGCAGGCGGTGCTAACCAAGACACTCCTCTGGCACCTGTTCTACCATCAGTCACGGTTTGATTTCGCGTAGAGTATGGATTGATTGAGGCTCTTAGGATTATCAATGAATTGCCCGGGTTCGCCATTGGGAAAGAGATTGGACGTTGGCTATCACTACATACCATTTCGTAGAATTCATGTGCCAAGCTTCCATTCTACGAAGTATCTTGTTCAATCTAGCAAATCTCTAGCAGTCCAAGGGGGCCGCAGTACAGGCCGAGCAGCAAATATGCTCACAGCGATACTCATTGCCCTCGCTGATCATAATGCAACTGCACCTGCCTCCCATGTTCCAGCCCTTGCCACACCAGCAGCAGTTCCAGCACCTGTTCCGTGCTTCGTAGGGGCATGTTTTTAGTGGGCACTGAAGGGCTGAGTGCGATTCAAAACCCTGAGGTGGCGCGTAGGGAGCATTATGGTAGGTTACGTTTTTGCAAGTTCCGCGTCCGGTCGAGGAGATTTTCTTCGGTGCTGAGGCGCAGTAGTGAATTCGAGTGCAAACATGCTCGCATGGGAGTTTGTAGGTTGTTTGGTTGCACATGTTCGGAATATAATGAGTTTTCTGCAGAAAGATATCGGTGATAAGTAAATGGTAGACTTTAGGTTGCTGGGTAGTATGTCATAAAGAAGACACCAGAAACGAATTAGCATACCAGTTAAGTTTCTTTGAAGCGGTCTGAAAATGTACAATGGTTCATCCAGTAGAGCGGAAGCACTTGGTGTAGAACGCGGTCAAGCAAAGAAACGGATTGAGCATTCAGACGAGCCTGGTCTTCTTAAAAGGCAAACTAGATGGCTCAGGCTACCTGCGGTCAAGCACAATGCCACTTATCGTAGTTCTCTTGAAAACACCTTGAAGCACCAACTTCGTAACCGTATGTGGTCCGGCTGTCGAATCGGATAATAGCTGATTCTGCTTCTGCCCTCCATTCTGAAAGAGCCCGAAATCTCTCGGCCAATGTGGCTAGCTAGTGCTTCGGGAAAACACCGTTCTGATGCTGTTTTTATCCAACAGAAGCAAATAGGATGCGGTAATATTGGGAAGAAAACGTGGCATAAAACTGCCAAGTCTCAACTCTTGCATGCTTGGGTGGTGCCTGACTGATTAAGATGACCTGGGAGCTTACGAAAGTTGACGGAGCGATCACCACAGAGGAGGGTGCGCGAGCTATAGCCTGAAACGGGAGGGACGAAGATTCATACGTTATTCGCCCAGGAAACGATATCGAGCTGTCGACATTGTTGCCTGACTATGACTTGCACAATCTGAATGTGTTGGGTTACTGAAAGTGCTTTTACGATGTAACTGGATGGCTTGTGTGGCGCCGTTGGTCGGCGACCTAGATGCCTCGACCAGCTGCTTCGGGCAAGTAAGCCTTTGCAACACGCGAGGGGCTTTGTGTGACAGTTTCTCAGTTCAATATTCTTCCTCATCTAGAATTTCTTTTCGCTGTGTCTTGGCTGGCGTTGGCTGACAAGCCATCGCGTAGCAGCATATGAACAGCTTCTGATACGTGAGCCCCTGAACCCCTGACTCAATCAGCTGCAGAACCACTGATGGTTCCTACCTGACCTCCTAATTCTCATGTTGAGTAAACTAATCCTTGTCAGCTGAGATGTGCCGGATGAAGTGACTCTTTCGAATCCTTGCATCGCTTGAAGCTGGCCTGGCATTTGTCAAGCCCAGCTGCTTGACGCCGAGAGCCCTTTGAACTACCCATTGTTTCCATCTTGACATACAATTTTCATACCATCGAGAACCTCACTCTCGGGTATCTTGAGTGCAGCCTTCACAGGCTCGATGGTAGCAGAATGTGTCAGGACTCTTTCTCATCTTATGACCACACCATCGCAGCACGTTGTTGCCTCTCTGGCACTGGCAGCATGTCCAACGTCCTCCGAGATCCTGCAGGCGACAGGTGCCCGAACTACAGTCTGGTGATACAAGACACCCTGATGTAGCGCAGGGGTTCGAGTAGTCCACAGACTGGGCTTGGTCGTAGAACGAGCAATCGCATGGAATTCCGTTCTTGCCTTCTGAGTCCCAGACCGCGTCGGGGCAAAATTCGTAGTGAACCACATAATCGATAGCCCGGCGACAGGGGGAGACATGATGGTGGTGAAGGTAGTAATAGGTGCACATGATCACGCTTTGGAGCGGCTTTTGTGGGACAGTTTCGTGCTGGCAATCTTGGACACCGAGCAGCCGTTTTTGCGCCACGTTCGTTTACTCGGCCAAATATTGTTTCGGCCCCTGAGTCGTATTCAGGCCGGCTTCCAATGGGTGAGTACGTCGCGAAGACCTTTTACAAAACCTGAATTTTGTTCTTGACGCCTTGAAAAGACGGATTTGAATTTTTGCCTTTGTTTTCCATCAGGCTTACAGTGGCTTGAAGGGTGAAAGAAGTTGCCTCACCTGTAATTATTCTGAATCGTGGCTTCAGTCGTACCTCAACTTGAGACCATGGAGTGGGTTTTGTCAGGTACAATTATTATGTCTGCTCCGCCGTAACTGTTTAGAAGCGTAGTCAGTACGAGCATCGATTCTCGGAGATCGCTCGTGGCATGGGGAAGACGCTTGGTTTTATATCTTAATTCAATCATAGTATGGTTTCCTTGATACAAAGAAGGCTCAGTTGATTCTGTGAACCCTGAGAATCGGCAACACTACAACATGAATACATTCCGACATCCCATGCTCCGGTGTATGGCGAGGTGTTCCAGCTGAAGGCCATCCCGAGTCTGTGATCACGATCCGGAGCCCGATCTCCTTCCTCAAGCCGTCACAACCATGCTCGGGTGAGCCACGCTGTTGACATCTGGTTGGCTTCGATAATTGGCCGCCATTGTCAAACTGAATGATGGTCTCCCATGCCGGCTCTGAGAGGGCGACAGAAGCACGTGGCGTTCGCATGTTCGTGGATACTGTCTGTGTCAACACACCCGTATTCTTACATCCCCCGAGTCAAAACCACATGGCCGAGACATGGATACACAGGAATAAGACATCTGGCTCCGCTACCTCCGCTTCCTCGGCTGAGCTTGAGAGTGGAAATCTCATGAAATCACATGGCTTGTGAGAGCACCGTTCCAGAGTGGCCACTTGCGAAGAATACTGAGGCTAAAAATGTCAAAAGAAGAGCAATCGAATGAAGTGATGGAACCCAATGTAAAACTCTACTAGGCTTCTGGAAGGCGACACAGAGTGTATATAGCTCCGGATCGCTGTTCGTCCGACAATGCTTGTGCTCCTTACCGGTCTTAGGGGAATGAGGTAGACCCGTTCCATGCCTTTCACGACACTGTTGACGGATATCTTCGAGGTCGTCGTGAAAGGTAGAGTGGCTGCTTTGTCACATGTTTCTTCACCTGGTAGATTTTTAACTTCTTCCGTCGATGTCGATGTTCGAGCGCATGAATGCAGGAGGCCCTTCCGCAGTGCTAACCAGTATGTCTGATACAAATCACTCCAACGATGACAATATTATTTCGAAGATTTTCGCTATTGGCCATCAGCTAATTTCAAAGGGCGAGAATGACGGGCTATGCAGTCAAACCGACACTACTGCACTGCTGAAATACTGAACAGGTGGCTTCCTACCAGACGATTGAGCTTTGAAAGATGCGCTTTCGGTACTGGTACCACAGATGCCATTGCATGTCGATTTCGTACACAGAGCCATTTATAGCCCATGCGGAAAGTAGCTGAACCGCATTCGTGATACGCACGTGCCGATATCCATCAATGCGGAATGGGACCATGCCGAGCATGTTTTTACGCAGCTATGCACTGTCATCTGTCCTTCGGACGCAATTCAAGCCTAACTGACTCATCGGCGTCCAGGAGGAGCAGTAGTCAGCCGACATAGATTCTGCTTCGTGGCACCTCACGGGTATCTTTGTTCTCGTCGTTCGTCCAATCTCGCAAGGTTGACTGACGTGAACCACTGCTGATGAGCGACTTCGCTGGTGGTCGCTGGCCCGGTAGGCTCCGAGGTGGCTAGACAGCACTACGCATAGCATACCTATGGCTTCCTAATTGGGATTGGAGATTGTGCAAAGGGGCTTCGCTATAAGTTCGTTCATCGTATCGATAAACGGGCTCGAATTTGGAGGCTGTCCAGGCCGACTCCCGGCTGACAGCAGCACGGTTCTTGCCATTGATCACGTCATTTCACGCAGAAGCTGACAGATCCGGGCCAGGTGGTTGAGTGGGTTCAGGGGTTTGAACAATCGTCCGTGCATGAATGATCTGGACACCTGTGAGCCTGCTACTAGGCTGATGCTACGATTTTGCTACTGATTCCAGCCAACAAGGCTGAAACACGCAAAACTTGGTAGCAAAAGCCATTTATTGGTGAGTTTGAATTGCACCATGCACTGCGATGACAGGTTGAAGCGTCAAGCTGATCGTTGGTCTGCAAGGATGACGCTTCGCCAATTCCCAGCGCCCGACACAGGTCGTTCGGAATGGAGTCAAGCTTGAGCATAGAAAAGACTCGTTGACACGGATCAGCAGCTCGCCAGGGCTCGTGCATGGTCATGTCACAGAGACTGGCCAGCACCAATCTATGCCGGCGCATATGCGGGCGAACCGGCGGATGATGGAGAGGACAAAGCCGACGGCTTGAGGAGGTACTCAAATATGGCGTCGAGAGGCTACTAAAAGAGGATGCAGCTGCATGATCTTGCAGCAGTTGAAACCTTCTGACAAGCAGGAAGTACACTAGGAGTTGACATGCAGCGTGCATGCGTCGATCCCGCAAACCGCAGGCCAACTGTTAGTTCCAAAGCGAGCGGTGGCTTGGTCCCCATGCAAAGTATCTTGTTTCCGCGAACGCAACATGCGACACACTGGCTAAACAGACGCCATGCGATTGTCTTTTGCGCACCTTGAGAGGTAGTCCTGGTAGGGTCAGTAGGCGATTCAGTGCTGGTCAAAGGCCGAGGGGTGACAAATTCGGACCATGATCCGGCAGTTGGGGGACTACCCCGAACGCAAGTCTAGGGCTGGCTATTTT